TAGCCCGAACTCCCCGAACACCTCAACGATGATGGTCATCATTCTCGCCAGTCCTTCTGCAGACCTCGATACGACGCCGGCATCATCGGCATACAGCATCCCCCATACTGCCCTCCGTACTCGGTCAAGGGGTGTCTCCTCCCGCCCCCCCGCTTCTGTCTTCCCCTCCTCCAAGCACACCAGGCTCCGCAGAACAACATCATCCTCGCTGAATCAGATGACAACGACCTCGAGGACCTCGGCGAAGAAGATGTTGATCAGCAGCGCGGATAGCACACATCCTTGTCGCACGCCCTGTGTCACGAAGAACCAGTTCGATAGTTCTCCGCCGTCCATGCGCACCCGGCCCCGCATTCCATCGTGGAATTGGCGGATGACCTCGATCAGCTTCGCGGGAATCCCGGCCCTGGCCAGCACCTTCCATAGCAACTGTCGGTCCACCGAATCATACGCCTTGTTCAAGTCGACGAAGCACATGTAGAGCGGTATTTTCTTTCTCCGCCCCAGCTCCTGGAGGCGGCGCACGACGAACAGCATGTCGACGGTGGATCGCCCGGGTCGAAATCCGCACTGTTCCTCCGGGAGGATGTTGTTGGCTTCGCAGAAGGCGCTTAGACGGTTGGTGATGATCTTGATGGGGACCTTGCCCACGTGAGATAGTAGCGAAATCCACACACACAGAGGAAAGAAAGTGCCGGACTTTTCTCGCATTAAAAATCGCAGGCAAAGTACCGCAGGAGGGGAGGGTNTCTGAACTTTTCTCGCATTAAAAATCGCAGGCAAAGTACCGCAGGAGGGGAGGGTAGAGAGGGGCTCTTCTGTGTGACAACGGGTTGGAGTGAACGGCACTAACAGTCCTACTGTGAGCGCTGATTTGAAGTGAAGCCAAAAAACAAAAAGGAAAAAAAAAGGAAGGGTCGATGCCTCCCACGGGATGCATCATCTTTCTTCCGCTAGTTGTTGTTGTTGTTGTTGTCTTCACATAATAAACCGTTCCATTCTCTCTGCCAGGAATACATCTGTCCGTACTAGTCTAACACTTGACGGGGTCGATTCTCGTAGTCACAGGCTAACTTTTCCGAAACAAAGGTAAACGAAAAAAACAATGAACCCGAAGGGTCCACAAGCCAGTAGCAGTCATCGACAGATAGTCTAGGCCACTCCGCTCGCCTCTACACACTCGCCTCTACACGCTATGCGAGGTGACCCTAGATCGGAAACAGAAAGAATAAGACAAAGAAAGTAGAAAAGATAAAGAAAATGAAGAGAGCAGATGGACAAAGGAAAGAGAAGGAGAAAGACACAGACAGAGAAAGACACACGCCGTT